AAAAAAAGGTCTGGGATGAAAGCTCTTAATAAAAAGTCAATCACATGTTTAACATTTTCGCAAGCTAGTGTCCTCAACCGTAGCTAGCTCAAGTGTTTTCCTCCTTTCCACTTCATAAATTGAAAACAAGTAAAAACACTATAGCGAGCCATGGCTCATCAATAAACGTCCTGGGTCACTCTGCTTAATATAGGTTTTCTTATAACGAATTTTCGTTATATGGGAAGTTGTCGAAAAAGTGGTCCAATCTTACCCATTTTGGAGAACATTCGTCTTTAGGTCAAAACAGATCAATGTACCGAATTTCATCGAAATATTCCAAAAATTACGAATTGAATACAAAAAACCCGGACGGACAGATAAAACTAAATCGATTTAGAAAGTGATAAAATAAAAGGTAAACATATCTCAGGTCTGTCTGGATGTTCAATATATCCGCACCGACTTAACATATTCTTCTGCTACATGTGGCGCAGCATACACGAAAAAATTTCTTTAGGCAAAGCCACGAACAAAAGACAGAGATAGGCAGAGAAACGAATGACGCCACTTGGCCTGTTCGAATGTTCGTTTAGCATAAAGTGATAACAATATAAAGCCTAACGTAATTTTCTAATAATGATAAAAAATATATAAAATATTGATAGGATTGTTTGTGGGAAAAAAAGAAATGCTAATAAAAAAGGGAATATATTTGTATTTATATGCCATAAATGAAATAATTTTTAATTTGTAGTAGTTTACGCATTAAATCGAATGATGATTTAATTAAATTGGTTTTTATTTTGTTATTATTGTTATCATTATTACTATAATTTATTTTTTTTCCTCTTATTTTAAAATATTTAAACAGATTACAGATAAAAATTACAAATAAACAAAAAGAAAAAAAACCGTCGAAAAATCAATGCATGAATATATGTTTATCGACAAACACTATCAACATAACAATCAGCGTGAATGAAAAAACATGTCCAGGGCAATAACGTAAAGATTGTAATAATGTTAATAGCCAAGTTAATAATACCGTTTGGAAGATTTAAACAAAAACCCAAAATCACTTAAAATATTTTATGCAAAACCAAGAAGAAGAGAAAAAAAGCACAAAATTAAAAATTAAACCAATGAAAAAAAAAACCAATTCAATGAATTTATTATTAATTTTAAATATGTTGTATGTGAAAAAAAAAAATCACAGAGAATGCAATTGCAAAGGTGATAAATAAATAAATAAATAAATAAATTTTTCCAAAAGCATGCTTACATATACTTACAAACATACATACATACATACATATGCACAAATAAAATGCCATTTAAAATAATTACAACAAATCGAAATGAAATATGCTTTACATTGAACTGACAAATTTGTACAGTGGCGGTTAACCATTCAACACCGGGCACCAGCAACAACAGCCAGCTACGTAAATTTTATGCAAGACATAAACACACACACACACACACATATATATATATATATATATATATATATATATCTATATATTTATATACACAATAACAATTGCAATGTTGACACACGTCAGCCATTTGCTGCGTAATATGAATGAATGAATGAATGAATGAATGAATGCATGCGTTTGCACATGACGTTATTTGTATGTATGGATGCATTCAAATTAAACGAAATAAATGAACTAAATTAATTAAATATTTTAATAGTTGCATTAATTTGTCGCTGTCGTTCATACAAACATATAAAAACGAAAATGTTTCTTTTAAAACAAAAAAAAATTATAATAATAAATAAATTGTCCTTAATCATAACCATAACGCAATCAATAGCCCTTCTATAACACCGTTTAGTATGACACCAAACAAAGACTTAAAACCATAAGATTTTTATGGATACGGGGTAAACAGATGCAATAGTCTCGTTTCGCTATATAATTATAGGCGTTAGATTTGTGAAGGCAAGCATAGGTCTTAGTGAATTGGCTATGAAAAATATTTAAAAGAACCTTAGGAAATTTTCTATTAACTTTTTTACTTTTTTTCTTTACTTTTATAAGGTTGATAACAAAAACAAGTGACAGTGACATTGGTACTCCTCATGGGGACACGTAAAGTTTCCGTGGTTTTCCCAAAAGTTGTACTTATCTTATTTCTGCTTTCGTGCGGAGACTCGCAAGTACACGCTTGTTTACAATCACGTCTCAATCGATTTCGGACGAGTACAGCGGTGGGAGAGATGATTTATTAGTTACTCTTTGCTAAACTTCGATTTGCGTCTACCACGAAACATCGCGTACTCGTGAATCCCCTTCCGAATGGAGGCATTCTGGTGAGATGGCAGTACCAACTTATGTCTAAAAATTAACTCCAGTTTTTTAAAGGCTTTCAGACGTTGACTTGGGTGGTAACTTTAAATAAGGAAAAACTTGGAGAAAAATATCGCTGCTATTGATATAAATGTGTCTGTATAGGTATTTCAAACAAATTACATTCAAATGCTTTGTAGTTTTATTCTTGCTCTCTTTCGTCCTCTTCTTCTTCTACAACTCTACAAATGAGCAAACAGATGTTTGTTGAACAATGTGCCTGTTATATCAATTGTTTCGTTCTAAAACCCTTTAATTCTTACCTTCCCTAATAAATCCTTCCTGTACCTGTATTTCCTTGGAGCCGTTCAAAAGTTTGCATAAGAATCGTCTTAATCCTTTAACTGATTCGTCCAAGTGTAATAAAATATTTTGCAATTCTAAACTGTTGGCTTGAAATCACTAGCGCTAAAAGCGAATTGTACTTTCTTGGCTACCACCCAACTATAAGTAATAAAAGTTAAAGATCTTAAGTAATCTGTCTTCTTGCTCACAACATTTTTGTAAATACAAACTAGTCTTTGGTGTGGCTCCATAATGGACCATAATTGGGAGCATAACATTGCTGAATTATGTTTAGCTTGTTGTGTACATCGAATGGATTCAATGTTTACCCTCCTTCCTCACTAAGTTTGATTTGTAGTCAATCTTTCCTATGATGTATAAATTAGTTTTTAATTTCTATCCACAATTGTCGCCACACAAATCTTTTTACAATTCCGTATTCCATAAGGACGAAATTCTCGAATATTCTCGTTGATAAATGTTTTCAAAATTAATATTTCTCTTCTCCCATCCTTTTCTTTGGCATAATGAAATTCGATTGAATAATTTTATTCCAGCATTTCATTAATAAAAACGGAAGAATAAATTAACATAAAATTCATATATGAATTCGTATTCGGAAAGATATATAAAAACTTTTTTTTATACGCTCAGCAAATAACTCTTAATATAAGAGTAATGTGCGTAAATTGGGACGTAGTTGTAAAATTGAGACAAAGGAAGCAAGTAAGAAAATTATATTCGGTCGTGACCGAATCTTTTATATCCACCACTGTTATCCTAAAAAAAGACTAAAAAAAAAAAAAGGCAAAAATTCATACTAAATGATTTCATAAATTTTCATACTTAATGATTTTGTTTGGGCGCGATTGATTTTTCCCATTTTTGCTCTATAAGTAAGAAGCAAAAAGTCGCGAAAGTAAAGATATTCGCAGTTTTTCTTCGATAGGCGTGTGAAAGTCACAGACGTGTCCTTCGGCCGATTTGGTAAATATTCAAATTCTTTTGCGAATGTTTACCACAGATACTACGCAGTTGGGCAGAGGGATATACGGATATGTTTGGCGATATACAGAATTTGTAATTGGTCAAGATTTGATGTACCTTATTAGTGTTTTGAAGGTTGCTTCTCCACGCACAATGTCTGAAAGCATTGAAAACAAAAACTAAATTTCGATACACTATAGCATTAGGTAGGCGTTGCATTTTTCTAAATTTCATTTTTGCACATGTACTACAGCATGGCCTACCAATTCTTTGTTCCTTTTGAGAAACGGAAATGGATTCAGAATTTGATGCTGGTCAAGAGTGTATGTACTTTGGGAAGTCTTTGAAGCTTCCTTCTGGACGTTGCAAATGTTTTGCCACAATGAGTATAACCCTCATCCTCCGGTGATCGAAGTAAAAGCTTATGTGACTTCAATTGCTTTGCAGCTTTAAATGCGCACTTCTTAAGGAGAACGAGATAAGGAATAGTTTTCATTTTCACCGCTAGCGGGTATTAGCCAGCATAACGTGCTTCATTTTCAACCAGGTACCTAGATACAGCTAAAATGGTTTGGACACTTACAGAGCTTTCGAGAGTCAAAGATTTTTGCTTTCTTTCCTACTGAAACAGCCTACTTAATAAGTTCGTGGGGTTGGACGGTTTAAGTTGGCTATTGATGATTAGTACTATTTAAATATCATAGATAGACTCGTCAACAGAGGCAAAATCTATCAAATCTTATTGAGTGATGTGTCATAAGTGAAGTCCTACTGAAAAGTTCTCTCTGTTCCAACTACAATAAGCTTCAACAAGTATTCGCATATTTGGAAAGTATACTCGCTGACCTAGCAAATGAGTTCAAACGAAGATTATTCATGTTAGTATTAGGGGAGAAACGATCGTCTAACTATACCTACTGATAGAGTTCACTTACGCCACTCTGTTTTATATAATCTCAAGAAGGAGGAACTGCTACAGAAGCTTGTTAAATGTTTATTTGGTGACAACAACAGAGATAACGAAAAAGCTCGATTCAGTTCGGACTATCCTCGGAAACTAGCATTTTGCTTCATTCTACAGGCGGACAGAACTTTCCTGTAAACCCATTATTTTTCTCTACTCCTTTTAATAGGAAACAATTACATGTGAGACCAATGAAAATAGTCGTAGCATATTTAAGCAATTGGCAATCCTGGAAGCAACAACAATGCAGTTTCAATTAAACATTTGCGATTTATTGAAAAAGAAATGAAAAATTGTTAATGAACTTTTTCCCCGTAAACAAATTAAACAAAAAAAAAAAAAAAAATGAAGAATAAAGCAAAATAAATAAAGTGATAAGTAAATTTATACAACAATTGAACAATTTACAGTTATTGATTAAAAAAAAAAGAAAAGAAAAAAAAAAAAGGAGCAAATAATAAAAATCTTTCTTTACGCACCTGGGCTATACGTTCAAGGAGAAACCCTGATGGGAACGCAAGAAGAAAAATAAACATGGAATCTGTAAATTTATTTATTTTTGGTAAGTATGTTATGCATTCATTTATTTATTACCCGTATATGCATTTATTATAATTATTATTAATGAAAATGAGTCTGCGTTCATCTTAACATTAATGAGATATGGCATAATTTTTATGCAAAAGCATAATAAAAACAATGAATATTTCATATGGTTATATGAATTTCATTGCGAACAACATGCGCAACATTTTGTTTATAAGAAAGATGTGTAAAATTTTCAATTTTATGCATTACATTCAACTTAATTCAAATTAAATAACTTGAAAAATTTATATTGAAAATCATGGATTTATGATGGACTTGCATATAAACATGAATGAATATGCAAATTTTTGAAAAAAAAAAAAAAAAAAAAAAATTTATTCTTATACATGATGATTGAACAATTGAATTCTTGTAACTTTTTTTTTTCTTACCAAAAGTTTTCTATATTTACTTAGGCAACGAGAAGGGAAAGACTTACGGTTAAAAATATTGTTTTGTATATTAAGAATTCAATACTGTAGCCTTGTTTAGGAGGGTGGCTTTTCCATCGTCCTGGGTATTAACTCGGATATTATTTTGAGATTTTAGTTTTTCTTTTTCAAGCTGACAATTCAAATTTCAATTATTTCTTTAGTAAATTCTTTGGTAAAATTCTTTTAATTTGTTTTATTTGATTTTATTTTATTCTGTTTTTTTTTTTACCTCATAATGTAATACCTTTTTCGATTTAAAACGTCTGTGGTTGAATTTTTATTGATATATCAAAGAAGAGACAGAAAAAAAAAAAAAAATCTGGAAATTTCAATCAAATCTTATAACCAATTAATAGGTTTAAAAATAAATAAACAAATTGAGAATTAAACTATTGAGGTTTTTTTAAATAGTTTAATTTATTCTTCCCTTTCGACAGGATATTTAGGATTTGTTCTTGCTTCTTGCAATATTGCAGTGCACAGAGTGACCTCATAGAAGTGTAACCACCTCCACAAGGGGTATATAAGTGCTTAGATTATAAGTCAAAGTAAAAAGTCAATTAAATCAATTTTTTCTACGTTTGCTTCACTACCTACCTGTCTTTGTACCAATCCTAATCTTCGTCTAACAGATTTAGTCACAAACTGTTTCTTATCGGTTTTATAAGATTAGGTTTCGATATGAGTTAAGTTCGTCTCGTACTTAGCAAAAGCTTAACTATTTTCCTTTTTAAATCCATCATCGAAGGATGAGGGATTCAACCATTTTGTGAAATGCTCAGAAGGTAGCCTAAAAGATGCCGTAATGTATTTGATCAGCATCAAATTCTAAACCGATTTAAGCGTGTTCGTCGGTCCGTGAAATGCGTATGGTAAACAGGCACCTAACGGCTTCAAATTTCGCACAAAGATCGGAAGTGTATTTTATAGGGGGAAATGCAGCGCCTGTACAAAAATAGAAAAAATTCGCCACGCCTACTGAGTAGTATAGAATATTAAAATTTCATTCTTTTATTAAATGGCTTGCAGCATCCAGAAAGAAGCTTCAGAGACCATACCAACCTCTATATACCATTGATTAGCGTTAAGGTGGCGAGCGAATATCATTTTCTTATTCTTCTTCGTTCTTAAGCTATGGCCGCGCAATTAAAATTCTTTTCGCGATAAATGCGCAAACACACTGTTATAAAACTTTGCTTCTTTTCGACCATACATAGGTCATGCGGCAAGTGTGTATGTGACTGTAGAATATCTAATCTCCGAAAGACTTCTATTTACTTTATTTGTGTTTTTGTACAGAGGTTTACAACTAAACATTGAAAGGTAAGCAAAACGGATGTTTAAATTGTTGTCTGATGAGCAAAAGAAAAGAAGAGCTCACTATACTTGTCTGATTTTAGATAAGTAGATGGCTGGACGGGATGATTTATTGAGAAGATGTCGTCCATACCTGGTGCTAGAGATTACTACACGAAATCCTTAGATGCATACGACTATTTGCAAGCGATAATTTGTATCCTCCACCATCTAGAGGTCGTTCTTTGAAAACTTTGATACTAGATATGAGAGACAAGGAAAGGTAAACCTCGCTTGTCTATGATCTTTAATTATGTAGTGCCCTCACGGTTTTGCAGTTATCACAATATTCCCCAGCTGTCAATTCTTCGTCATTTCGACGCTAAGGAGTTGTTCAGTGTCCAGATATTTTTTTCATATTTTTTGTGCAGTAGAACGATTTCTGCATCATTCGAATAAATGAAGGAACGGAGGGGAAATATGTGAAGAGTTTATTAAAGCTGCTTACAGTTTACAAGTTTGAAACATTTTCTTGATCGTTTAAGTAGCTTAAAGGCAAGCCTTGATGGGCTGAATAAATCGCTGTAAACGATGAATGAAAGCATGCGAAATGCAAAACATTTAGGTGTACAAGATTGTGCAAAGAACAAAAACGTGAACAAAAAAAAAAAAAAAAAAAAATGCGAGGGCATGTCCTCGTTGTAAATCATAGGTGAATTATTAGATAACCTACAGTTGGTTGATTGAAACTCTGCGATTTTTTACTCCTCCGATAACACTAAGGCAGACGACTATTGAAATGCGCCTGAGTGAGACGAATCGCTTAGGAAAGTGAACATCTGCTTACAAGAATCGCCAAACTAAACCGTAAAGCTCCTGTTGTTTGTAGGCACAGCTTTACCCCTATTCCGTAAGCGTTTTTTTTTTCAAGCCCACGTTCAAACTTAACACGCTTCTCAAAAGCCTTTGCAAAGCAGTCACAATAAATTATGAATTGAAAAATTGGAAACATAATCAAATAATGATGGGTACCGACACGTCATCCTATCCAATCCTATCGAAAAATTCTCGCTGTTTCAATGCGTTCCTGAAATTTTCAAAGTGGAAAACGAAAATTTCCTTTCAGCTTTACGTAAATCATGTTTTAATTATACGTGTACATATGAGATACATTCGATTGTAAATAAAAGTAAAAATAATCATACGCAAGCAACGTAAGAATGTTGTATCCATTACAAAAGCGAAGGGCAAAACTCAAATTATCAGGAGTAGAAGAAGAATTCAAATCATCGGAAGCAACGCGAAAATGTATGAGATTATCATCAAATAGCAACCTTTTGCGGATTCTGTATCGCTTAACTTGTTACTATGATTTGCGGCGACATATGATGTACTGTGCAAGTGAACTGAAAATGAAATATCAAAGCAAAGTTAAGAGCAGCAGAGCAGAAAAATTTACAATTGCAAAAACCCAATAATAACTTTGAAAACAATTCATAGAAGTTCCTTCTTGTTCAAACATTATTTGCAAAAGTAATTGAACATAAAAGAAAAAAAAATCCACTTTATAACACAGATCATCATCATCATCATCATAGTCGTACGCATGTGAGACGTACACACTACAGATACACGTAACTTTCCAAAGTTACACAATCAAGAAGTAGACGAATGTAAGCAAATAAATCCTTACAGATGGAAAATAATATAAAAAAAAAAAAAAACATGATTGACATGTCGACGCAACTACTACATGTCATGACTTGTTTTCGAACCCGTCGAAAGAAGACCAACTTTTACGTGTACTCGCATATGCGACTATAGTAATGCGAAAAAAAAACTAAAAATTCTTCTTTTTTAATTTTTTGTTCCGAATCCAAGTTTATTAACGTGATTACTTACTTTTTCCTTTTCTATTAATTAATTTAATAAAATCGCTGCTATGGAGAGAGTATGTACCACAGCTGGAGATTACCAAAAGCGAATAATTCAATGAAGATTGCAAGCAAAAAAAAAAAAAAAAATTTCCAATTTTAAATATAATCTTAAAGGTCAGGTACGAAAAAACGTGTTTATGGTAGTAGCGTTGTCTGTAAAAAGGAAAAACCGATTAATCTGGACAGTTGCCGGGTCAAAGATTAAATGGCCGGTGATTGATTCGGTGAAATTTCAAAAAAGCTTAAAATGTACAAAATTTGAAAAAAACTTAAGAGAGCTCAACCAATTTAAACTTTAAGGGCGGCCAAGATTTGTTCGTTCCTTGAGTAAAACTTTAGAAAATAGAGATCTAGACTTGATGGCATAAGTAGACGAATCATTCCATGATGATGCCCTTCGCCAATTTAGAAGGTTAAAAGGCAATGCATTTAATAAAGAGTCATTTTGATATAACTAAGTGACTAAGAAATTTCATTTGTTGCTAAAAGGATTTAGCCTTCACTGAGATTGGCAAAGGTGTCAAGGTGTTCAAAGGAAAATTTTCTATTAAAATTTGTCTAAAATATTATTGTAGTTTATAAGTTTCAAAATAGTGTTGAAGTGCATTTCAACATTTTTTTTTCTCGTCACTGTATATTTAGTTTTCATGATACGAAACGTGAGGAAAACGCACTGATAAAACATTTTCAGAAACATGAGAAAACATATACACCCATTACCACAAACGCAATAACCGCACAAATTTCCTGTGGGTGTAAAATCGATTAAGGTGCAGAAAGCGGAAGTCAATCAAAGAAACGCTCATCAAAAAATATTACGAATTTCATCTGGGAATACGTTTACACAAATGCGTCTAAGCACCTATACTGCTTCCCTGTGTATTGTGTATGGTGAGACTGCAAATGTCATTTTTTTTCTTCTTTTTTTTACAAAAGGCTGCATACGTAAAATGCGTTTACATGTTAATGATAAGTAAGAGTAAGAGAATAGTTGATAGTCTTCCATAATTAGATTTCTAGCAGATTTTTATGTCAACTGAAAATATGATGCATTTCTCACTCATTTTGAATATGCATGAGAGGTGCTTTCTATTCTTAACTAAAAGACATGTTGGATTCTCCCAAGTCTTTTTATCCTCCACTAGTTGGTCCTCTTTAACGTTCACTGTGTAAAATTTCCAAAAAAAGCAGAAACTTGAAAGAAGTAGACACCCGGCCCACACCTGGCCATAAATGATCATGGAATAAGCGAAAATTTTGCTTAAAATTTTCGTCGTCGAAAGTTTCATATGAGAACTGTCATCATC